TTACAAATTCTGTCTGGAGTGGATAGAGCAAGGGCAAGGTGCTCATTTGTATCATTTGTTTTAAATAAATGAAATCAGATAAGGGGGCAGTGAAGGGCATTTATTCTGGCTCTTTTCTCTCCAGGAAGATTAAAATATGTAAATTGCTCGGCTGCTTCTGAAGTGCTGCTAAATGCAGTGATTGTGGAGAGCATGGCATGTTTTACACCAATTAAACCAATGGATTACTTGTGTGAGCATGCAGGCTGAGGAGTTCGTGTGGCCTCGTGGATAGGATTCTGGATAATGACTCAGGAGACATGGATTCTCTTCCTGGCCACGGACCTGCTCTGTTATGACAAGACTTGGGCTAGTCATTTCATGTGTGGCTTGTAAACGCTTTAGGGCAGGGGCTTATTAGCCAAATTACTGTGTGGTCATCAAGAAAACCTTTTTCCAATTGTTTGTTCTCTTATGTTTTGTCCGCAGCGAGACAGAGTTGACATTTACTGTGTCCTGGAGAAAGTATTACAGCAGGACACTGGGGGCCTAGAGAGTGGGCTACTGAACAAAATAATAACCCTGGCCTCCAACCACATGAGAGAGACTCAGGTAAGTTAGTTCTCCCGAGATACTAATCAAAGGCTCCAAAGCTTTAACTAATTAAAACTCTCTTTTTGGGGGGGGTAAACTATATACTGAAACAAAAATCTATTCTCCTGTTAGAGGCCCACACCTCCTTCCAGACCAAACCCCAGGTCCTAGACAGCACTTGTGCACATGCATAGGATGGGAGAACTCACATGCAAAAGTTACACATGTGCTTAAGTGCTTTGCAGGATCAGGACCCGAGACACACGATATCAGACACAGAGACAGGCCTATGGTTTCTGAACGAGCAAGTCTTTCCCAAAGTCTACTAGGGATTTCATTATTGATCCTGATGTTATGTGGAAGGCGCTCTGATACTATCGCGATAAGTGGCAGTATAAAGCCCCAAGACAGACAGAATCTGAGCTGTCTCCAAAAGAAGCAGCATTGGATTTAGAATATAGTTTGCCAGCAGGAAAACTCATGGAAAAATCCCTCTCTTGTTCCAAAGGAAGTCAGCCTCCTTTTGGGGGACAGTTTATTCCAGGAAAGCTCTCGGAATATCTTGAAGCTGCCCAGTCTGTGTCTCACTACCTCCTCAGGGAAGGGTAGGGAAAAATATCATATGACATCCACCACAAGTAGCTAATAGTAAATAGTCTAACTAAGCAGCTTGCAAGGAACTCAAAGGCTGAAAATTGTTTAGCCAAATGACTCGATGAATATTTATGACTAATGACTCTAGCCACAGAAAGTTGGGATAGTTGTGGGAAAGTCCACAACTTATGCACAGAAATAAGGACTTGACTCATATAAACAACTCTGGCTAGTGCAACCGGATTCACTCACCTCAGTCTCTCTCTCTCTCTTGTTTTTTTTTTTAGGAAGCAACAAATGAACTCAAAGTGGCAGCCAGCAACACCTTAGTGACCCTGGCACGCTGCTATTTCTATGAGGTGATGTACGAGCTGCAGTGTCGTCTGAAACTACTGGGGCTGCCTGAAGAGTTTGTTTTCATTACACTGGGCAACCTGTCATCAGCCTATGGTATGGTAACTTCCATCTTTTGTTTCAAAGTTATTGTCTTTCATTTAAGGACAGGGGATTACTCTCTCTACCTAAAAACGTTACAGCTAAACAGAGCTCTGTTTGAGTGTGTGCACGCGGGTGTGTGTGGGAGAGACACAAGATTAACTGCTGTTGCTAGTTCTTGGCTTCCAGATCATGAGCTATCCAGACGGAGGTGCAAGCTCTAACTCCTGCCCCTGACTGAAGTTCCTTGAGGATGGGAATGAGTGGAAGATCAGGTCTAGTGGAGCTCTTCTCCACCCCACTTCCCATCCCACCCCAGTGCTCTCTCCCCTTACTCTGGGAGTGAGTTGGGCATCGGGCACAGCTGTACACTGGTGGAGGATTCCCCTCTTCAGGGTGAATCCCCCACTGGCTTTCAATGGCTGCTTTAAAGCCATTCTGCTCTGCTTACGCAGCACAAAATGGCCTAGGAGCCCATAGCATCCTGCCCCACGGTGAAGTGTGTTGTAAGAAGGCGGAGAGCAGCTGATTAACTTTCTTCTTTCTCTTCTGGCCTTTCTCTGCAGCACTTAAGTGTATCCCTTATGTGGGAATGACCCTGAAGCACATGTTCTCCATGTTGGGGTTAGTCAAGGACAGCAGGCTGAGACAAGCGTTTTGTGGTGGTAAGTGCAGCACTTACTGGAGGTGCCCAAAATGGATATTGAGGGGGTCTTGGTACAGATTGAAGTGACTGGCCAAGTTTGCAAACAGGCCCTGAACTGTGCTCCCTGCCCTGGATTGCACCAGGTGCTGCGTTCCTTGGCTCCCGTGGCACTCAGTGAAGTTGAGAGTGCTCCGTACTTTGCAGGAGGCGCTGAGCATTTGTAAGTTCAGGCCCTTTATGACTCATGGATATAATTTAAAATAAACACACACAAAGGCTGAAGCTGCCCATTTGCCAGGAGGCTCCTGGGGGAGGAGGTGAAGGGAGCAATTTTCATTACTGAACATTTAAAAATCCCCTGTTCCCCACTCCTCCACCCATTCTCTCCCCTTAGTTTCTTTATCATCATCTCCTTTCACCCTCTTTCTCTATCTTCTCTTCCTCTCCACTTCTCTCTTCCTTTGCTTTTCAGGTGATGCTCAGTAAGGGGTTAATCCTGTGCCTTTGAGGTAAATGGGAATTTTGCCATCAACTTCATAGAGAACAGGATTGGGCCCTAATTCTTCTTAGCAAGGACACTAGATACACCTACTTTTAGAGCAAAGTGCTCTTCAAAGCCCAGTAAAGCCAATGGATGTTAGGGACACTGAACATCTTTCAGACAAACTGTAACTCAAGATGAAATCATACAGTGTAAGGGTTAAATAAACAATAACTGCAGAGGACGCGAGTCATTCAGAGGAGAGCTGGTTGAAATATTTTGATTTTTAATTACATTTTCCATAATTTTTCTTTCCAAATTTGATGAAAACCAAACCTGAAAAATGTCAATGAGAATTTTGATCAGGACGTGTGCGTCCAGTGTTTTGGAGCAGCTAAAGAGGTGGCTGAAGTTTTTTGATTTTTGAAAAATATCAATGATTTTTATACTTTGCAATTTTGAAAAAAAAAACCATCAGTAAAGATTTTTAATTTAATTTAAACTGCTTTTTCAACCAGCTCTAATGAAGAGGTAACAAGGAAGGGAGAAAAAATTTGTCTTCAAATGATGGTCATTGAAAAAAGATTGAGAGATGCAAATTTAAAAGCCTTTTCAGAAACAAGACATGGAATGGGAGGAAGAGAAATAGCTCAAAATTGATATGGGATTTCAGCGTCTAGTCCTGAACTAAGCAGTAGCTGCCATGGAATTGTAGTAAACTTTAGCCTGGGTGAGTTCACTGATAAAGCAACTTCTCCTCGTTACTAATATGTCCTTTTCACGTTGCCTGTCTTCTCTCCTTCCATACAGTTCTGGAAAAATGGTCAAGGGCAATAAATCTATATTTGACTAACTGGGATAAGAGCACATTCCCCAGCATGGGTACATTGCGATTCTTCGATACAATTCTTCCATTCTATTGTCATGTGACCAGCAACTGGCTGCAATGTGAGGATCTGGAGGTGAGAATTGCTGGCTTTCTAAACCTTTAGCAGAAATTGTAATGTTAAATTCTATGTATCTGTCACTGTCTGTGATGATGGCATTTAATGGTAGGTCCTTTTGGATGGAACAGAGTGTCATGTAAAACATCTAAACCCATATATTTATAATGTCACCACATCATGGAAATTCTGTCTGTACACAGTGTACATAGCTTCTAGTTTTAGGCACCTAATGTGCAGATGAACACGGGATAGTGGGCTAAATTAATTCCTGGTATAAGTCCATTCAGCCCCAGTGGAATTACAGCAGTTTTGAGTTGGCTGAGAATGCCTACTAATCTGGGGAATATTTCACCTGGTATAGTTGTGAGGTGCATTAGAATATAATCCTGAAACCAACCCTATGAGTCCCGGTTCTTTACCAGGAAATATTGAGATAGGGCCGTTCCTACAGTGGAACAAGGGAAGTTGCACTCATTAGAAGTAGAAAAGGTGTGCCCATTGGATGATATTGAATGAATTCTTAGGAACATAAATTCTGTATCTCATCTATGCAGCTCAAGCAGGCCATCATCAAAGCCCTTGGTCCCATGATGAGCCTCTTGCTACACAAAGAGGAGCATCACGACCAGATATTTGAACTGATCTCATGGCTCCTTGAGCAATATAAGGAGGACATTGATGTTTTTCACGTCACCAAGGTGAGGTACCCCTCATTAAGGTAACTGTCTATGCGTGTGCATGTATGAACTGCACGAGGAATTTGCTGCCACTGGGGTTTCCTGGTTTAGACAGTGACTTGTTAGATAATAAATATCCACACGAGTTCTGGGTTGATGCACATGGTGACCCAGGCAACAAGATTTGTAGGTAAATGCCTCTTATGAAAAGCATCCTCTGTTTCTTGGGGAGGATGATAAGGAGATAAAAAACAGAACACCTGCCCCACTCCCCAACAAGATACTCCCACTTTGTGATTTCCCAGTACAGCCTGTCAACTCTGTGTCTCTCTTTTAGATCATAAACTCCTCACAGCAGGGGCTGCCATATGTTGTCTCTGGTCAATACCAAACCAACTGTCAGTGGTTGAAAATTAATACTAAGGAGGCTTGAGGGTGATTGCTTTGGATTATGTAACTAGATCGATATAAAAGCATTGCCTGTCTATTTCATCTACCATTCTATGCAGTGCTGTTGTAGCCATGTTGGTCCCAAGATATTAGAGCGAGAAGGTGGGTGAGATAATCTAATTAAAGATATTGTCTCACTCCCCTTGTCTCTCTATTTCATCTACCTCAGTACCACATGAGCAAGAAGTAATGGGCCAGTCTTCAGTGGGGCTACGCAGTTGTAAATGAAGTCATGAGACAGCTATAACTTCTTGGTAGTGATATTTACTCACCATCTCTGTTGGTTGAAGCTTTCTGGTACAGACTATGTGGTCACTTTTGAGGTTGAAATACCCATGATTTGGAGGGAACCAACGGATCATGGACTTGCTTGATAGCATGAGGGCACTACACAACTGCTTAAACATAGTAAAATATGTAGATGGCATCAGAGACATTCTGGAAGCTTCAAGCAGCAAAGGAGAAAAGTGTTTAGATGCAGGAAGGAATTAGATTTTCATCTTTTTTATCAATAACCTGGCAGAGGACATAAACTCATCACTGATAAAGTTGGCAGATGAGATAAAAATTGGGGAGTGGTAAAGAATGGAGAGGACAGCTCACTGATTCAAAGTGCTCTAGATCACTTGGTAAACTGGGGGCAAACAAAAGTGCATTTAAATACGGCTGAATGGAAATGTCTGCATCTAGGCACAAAGAATTTAGCCCATACATACATGCTGGGGGATGCTGTCCTGGGAAGCAG